TATATATTATGCTACTATTATTTATTATTATTACCACTTATGATTTATTTATCTATTTACTTATTTATTTCATAATGTCAAGTTTTGGGGGTACGAGTATTTGTTTGACATTATTATTGAGACATGGGAACCTTTATCACTCTACGTTTTATGTATTTATGTTTATATTATTTTTTTTTTTGTATAGTCAGATTGTTTTTAATGATTTACTCTCGACAAAAATAAGGAAAAATACTTGTTCAAATATTTGATATATTGACGATGTATTTTTCATTCTTTTAAGTTTAACAGTATAACATATTTTATGTTTTTTTGCATATTTCATTATTTTGAAACATTACATTTTTTTTTTTTATATTTTTTGGTTTGATGTAAAGTTTTAATCATTTGATCAATTTGTGTTATGCACAAAAAAAAAAAAAAAAAAGCAATCAAATCAAAAAATTCATTTAATTCACAACAAAAACTGCATTAGGATTTAACAATTATTATTATAATGAAAAACATATAAAGAGATTAATTGAGAATTTTAAGACATAAAATTTAGGGTGAAATGTATATATTTTTGTTAATTTTTAACATATTTTGTGTATCACAATACGTATTAATTTAAATGGTGTATACATAATAATAAATAGATTAACAATTTTATAAACCTTTATCCGTGTACATACGTACGTACGTCGTGCTATCGCTAATAAATTTGTGTCTACTATTTACTTTCAATTATATAATGGAAGAGTTTATATTATTAGTCAGACAATCCCTCTAAATACATGCTCTGTGAAAGCATCCCTAAAAATGCACCCTCCATTTAGGCCCAGCTAATATAACACAAATTTTACCTTCCCAAATGCAATATATACCTCTCTAAATGCATGCAATGCCTGTACAACTTTAAATTCGCTATGATCTATGATACCCTATTTACCTTCTGTTATTTTTAAATTTATTATGGACCCGGGAGAAAAATCACTATAATAGCCACCCTATATCTACAGTATAATAAGTTTACTAGTTAGTTCATAATAACTATTTGAAATTTTTTCTCAATGAGAAATCTTTAAAATCTATAATAATCAACTTTGAAGTGATATAAATTGACAGAATTTTAATATATATATATATATATATATATACGTATAAATAGATAACGGATCTAAATTTCTTAATCGAATAAATACTTAAAATAATTATATATAATTAGTGTATGCACAATGTGCTTAGTGCAACAATAAGTTTAGCCACATTATAAAGTTTTTTTTAAAAAAACAAATTTAGATATATTACTATATATATATTTTGCTATATTGCTAAAGTTTTACAGTATTAGTTATGCTAATAGTCTTTTACAAAATTACAATAGATTCTAAAGTTTTTAATATATTTTTTTTTACTAATATAAAAAAAATAATTTTAACAAAATTTATATATATACTGTATATACAGTATACTGTATATATACAGTATATTTAAAGTACAAATAACTATCGACGCCCTTATTTTTAGAGTTTATAGATTAAGGTTAGAGTTAAATATATTAGTTTAAATTTAATTAGAGTTAGGTTTTTGGGGTTTAAACTAGGGATCTTACCTTGAGCCGTGCCTGTGTTCCTAGGCACAAAATTGCCAGACACATTATGGGTACGGGCAGGGCACGATTACGGTACGATTCCCCGAAAACTATTTCCCCGACTCGACATCACACAGGGTGACAAATTGCTAAAAATAAATACCTGCAACTAATAGAATGCTAACCCTAACCCTATGTGATGTCGGGTAAGTGACCTGTCGAGTAATGTCTTTCGGGGAATTGAGCGACAACCCAGGGCACAGGCACAAATGTTGCAGGCACTAAGTGACGACTTATGCCTGGCGTACCTATGCCCATGCCTATGCTTTTTGTTAGACATGGGCATGAGCCCTAGTTTAAACTGTCTATCAGATCACAAAGATTGATTTGGGACTATCATTTTGTTATGGCCAATTAAAAGAAGATCAGATTTTTGGCCAATCAAATAGATTTTTTAATCATGCTTATCAGTTATATAAATCAAATCACAGAATTTTTCACTTGTAAAATGGCCTTTTTGACAGAACCTGTTCAATCAAAACTTTATATTTCTTCTTCTTCTACTGCATCTCCAAAGTCACGGCATGAGCAAATCATTGAGGAGCATCCTTTTAACAATCGTCTTGAGATTTTATTTCCTACTCTTTTATCGCCTCAACAAGAAACCAAATTTTTAAAAGAGGCTTTTTATTATAAAGCAGACATTCCTTTATCTTACTTTATCGAACGTTCTTTTATACAAGATTATTTACAAAAAGGTAGGAAGTAGTATCTATACCATATTTAAAGTTTTTACGCGCTCGAGATAATCCTCATTTTTCTTTTTTACTTCATAAAAGGACGTGTTGTCGCCCAAAGTTTAGGTGAAGGAATCGATGTGTCAAATGTTATCGCTCTTGATGGATCAGGTCATTATGAAATAAATAAGTAAATAGATAAATAAATCATAAGTGGTAATAATAATAAATAATAGTAGCATAATATATA